GACACTTTTAACGGACCAAGTCAGGGAATTTGATCGCAAACGGCAATCAAAGATGTTACAGTATTTGTAGAAAAAGAGATTATCTGGAAAATTAAACTCGGAGGTCGATCCAAATGGTTAACAGTGAGCGTGGCCATTTTTACTTCGATTATATTTCCCAAGATCTCTGCGTTTTTATATAAACAGACGGACCGACATCGCTAAGCCTACTTCTCTAAACGTTTTCAACAGTTACATACTTTTTAACGAATGAATGCAACTCTCTACAAGTAACGGGTATATTTTCGGGGATTAAGGGCATAACCCAAGTATTTGTTTTAACATTAAATACTTTTTAATATTGATCCTTTTTGTGGCTTTAGAAATATCAATAGTGAAATTAAAATCAAAATTAATAAGCTTAAACGCAATTTATCCTTTTAATTGGTATATTTATATATATTTTAAAGACATTTTAACAATAAAACTACTGCATAACATAACATAAATTTTCTATAAATATGTTAAACAGGTGCATTTCATACTAGTGGGGGAAAATTAATGTTTATACCGCGTTAGTCGTTCTATAGTTATAAAAAATTATATTGTAGGGTTCCAGAAATAAATCTTTTTCGAGAATATTAATTAATATAGCTGTAGGATATAGTCATCCACTTTTGCGGAAAATTAGCGTTGAAATAAATGGTCAATTTTTTAGTTTAAAAATAAATTCAGACAAGTATCTAAAACCCACTTTCTACATAAAAAATTAAAATGTTTTTTAGAAAAAGTATGTTGTTGCAATATTATAATTATTTCAAGGGTTGCTAACATGTAAGTGAGTTAGTTAGCTTAGGGCTTGTAAATACATCTATACTGCAACTAAAGGATATTTGTGCGGTTCAAAAAACATTTCTGGACATATGTACCTCCTTGCTCAACTCATATTAAGCATGAGATGTTTCTTAACTGAAATTCAACCAGACAGAAGGACAGTAAATTTGGTGGGTTATTCACTCGTCGATAATCCAATTAAGGGGTCGCATTATCCATTAGCTATCAGGCACTGTTCATCGAGCGGCAGTGCGATTGCAGCCAATTTGTTTCGACGCCATGCTCCAGCTGCAGCGATGGGATGGCAATAGGTGCTGGCGACTAACGAACAATTAATTGAATATAACATTCAATTATTTTTGAAAAAGGATTGAAACGACAAACAAAGATCTGGTCTGGTCCAGCCCAGGGTGCAGGTCTGGCTCTGGGTCTGCTGGTAGCCGTAAACCGCATTGCATAAACACTGGATTTTATATACTACATATGTAGCTGAATGCATGTACCCATGTACATAGTACAAGGCCCTGCATATGCTCCACCATGTCCATGGCCGTTCCTCCCATTTTGGCGCTGCCCTGACCTGTACATGACGCACTTTAAGCCTACAGCCAGGACCCGTTCTGCCCCTGGTCCGCCACCCCTTTGGATGTCTCTGTCACACTCGCACACAATGAGGGGGAGGTCGCATGGAGTATTAATGAAAATTTCGTACATCGAATTCGCATCATTAAAAAAGGAAGACTCGAAATGCGCATATGTAAAACTCGCAGGGGATTTTTTAAGGGTTGCAAGTCGTTTGTTAAATAAAAACATTTGGAAATGCTGTATAAAAATCAATTTGGTCTGTGGGCTTTTTTTGCTGTGAATGGCAACAATGCGTGTACATAAAGAGCAGCAAATAACGGCGAGTATGTACACTGTGATGCATGCCATTTTCCCATGTAAAATTTATTTTTGTTGCGTTATTTTGACCGGAGTAGCAAGGCTGTGCGCCGAAAATAAAAAAAGGAGAGCCAAAAAGTCATTGTCAGAAGTGGGATTCGAACCCACGCCTACAGAGTAGACTGCGACCTGAACGCAGCGCCTTAGACCACTCGGCCATCCTGACACATGTCTAACGAGTGTTTCAATAGGCATAATCAGCGACAGGACCATTCCGTCTTTGTAAAACTCTTCTCTTTCAGCGAAATTAAAACAAGAGATCCTATTAATTTGGTCGAATAACAGAACATAAATAGATAAATATGTTTTTAAGAAACTTTTAATGCCCATTAAAGTCAGATTGTTGTGTCGCGTATTATAGTTAACCACCGTTACTGAACTTTTTGCATAATGGCCTTAAACGTACAATTGATTCTAGTCAGAAGCGATGAACGATGCTCGAGTGCAGCCAATCAGCCAATATCTATTTGCAATTAGCTTATAAGCGGGACCACGAGATCTGTGCATTGCAAATATAATTAAGGTTATTTACTCATTTATTGTATTGACAATGATTGGATGAAAAGTGAATTATACATTGTGTATTGTATATTGTGACAAAAGTAGCTGGGAATGGCAAAACTGAAATACCACCCACCCAAATATTATAATTCTCTCCCAGCAACATTTAATTATTGCGTAGACACGTAGCCCAATACATAAGTACTGGCGATTTATGTACTGCCAGATAGTAGGATACGTGTGAATTTATGGCCATCGAGTGGGGGTGCAGATCCCTTCTTTGTTTCTTGCTAGGATCCCGTATATGAGCTTACCACTAATTTCCCATTTCGACCCGAGTACATAGTCGACGCACAAACACAGCTGCAGCATACTTTCAGCCATATATTCGAGTGGCATATCGGAAGGCTATGGATTGGGCGGTATCTGGTTTGAGTTACGCAAAATTACAATAAAATCGAATAAAATGCCAAAAAATGGACATAAAAGTGTTGAACACAGCAAAAACAACGATCGCGAAAATAATGCGTTGCTGCTGATGGGCTTTTGCGAATGGCCCGCCCTCTTGGGAGGCGGGGGGTTTTATTTTGGTTGGTCAGCGGGTCTGAATGAATGCAGCGGAAAAGAGAGAAAAAATGAATAATAAATTGTATTATAATTTCTTTTTTATGACAGACTGGGGGACATGCAGTGACATATCCCCTACAATAACAATCCGACAGCAACATACCTCAAAGAAAACCCTTGGAGCTTGAAGACACATTAAGTTTTGATGTTTTTTTTTGTAATTAAGCACACAATTAATACAAACATAAAGAACTAAAAAATATTGTTCTTTGATTCTAAATTACAAAAGAGAATATATATTGATCATATTTTGTAGATCTTCGCTTGGCATACTTACATATATATAACTGATCAAAATTCAGATCGCAACAGGGATCAAACCGTAGAGGTCGTTGGAATCTCTGAATTAAGTTCTGCTCCGGACGCAAACTGTGAATGATTGGCGCCGAGTAAAAAAATAATGAATGCACTTTTTGTGAGCAAACGCACCTAAAAAAGAATTAAAAAACATGGCAGCCAATAACGGCAGGCAGAGACGCAGTAGGAGATCCGCATCCCGAAGTCCACGACACAATGGGCTACTTTGGGGCTGGAGATGGGCATTGGCATGGGATGCTTTAATGCACTGCTGCTGCTGCGGTGACTGTAGCCGCAGTCGACGCAGGCTGCTGTTGCTGATTATGTTGATGACGATGCGCAAACATCAAAATAATCGAATAAATTAAAACGAAAAGGAGGGAAATGCACAAAACTCAATCGACACCCACTGGGTGGCTGCAATAGTAGTGCGTTGTTGTGGGTGGTTGGACAGATAGGTGGACGGACAGACTGTGGACGGAATTCGTATTAATAGGGCTGCTAATTATTGACGTGCGTGGCCCAAACGCAAAACCAAACCCAGACCCAAAACCCAGCCCCGACCCACTTTGGTGGCGTGGCGCTGACTGCGTCGACAGTGAACGTGAACAACTCTCATAATGAGTTTTTTCTGAATGCAGTTTTGTTGCTGGGGCAGCGACAAATGTGGCAGTGCGTCGTGTCGGGGCAAAATCAGTTTCGAAAATGCTTTGTCAACAGCAACACACATTCAAAATTTTCGGTTTAGTCGCATAAGTTTTATTTTGCCTGATTTAGTACAACTTTACAACTTTGGCTCGCCACTTGATTCTGTGTTGGAAAATTCTCCTGATTTTCTGTCAAAAGGGAAAGTCCCCCTAACATGAGTGAGTGTGTTAGTGCCTGCGCGCCAGTATGTGTGTCTAGTCTAAGCCTAAGCGCATCATGTAACCAGCCCCAAAAAGGCAATAACCATCATCAACGGCCCACTGGCCAAACGTGGGGTGTGTTGTGTTTTGATGTAAATTATGCAAATACTACCCCTATTGCAGCACTAAACCGCAGAGAGTGCCCCGGCAACACCCACCGCTCACCGCCTCCCTATTTCTCTATTACGCTGGCGTCGACGTTGTTGTTGTTGCGGCTGGTGTTTGCGGTTTTGTTTTTGCCGCTAGTTAGCTGCGCTGGCCGATGCATCTGATTAACAAAATTAGTTTAGAAAACTCCGCTCTCGCGTTCGAAACAAACAAAAATTGGTTCGCTTTTTTCGACAAAAAGTAATATGATTGCGAATTATACCAAGAGTCGGGACAACTTAAAGAGTTGTGTTTGCCGTCTGTTTTTATTTTTGGAATACTAAACATGCTCTACAGAAGATAAAAGCCATGGTAGGAAGTGCTTTAAACGAAAGAATCTTAAGTGCTGTCGTGGAACGGATTAACATATCGCTCAAGGTTTAGTAAATTTAAATGTAGCGCCAAGTATTTCAGTATTTGTTATCGATGTTGTAAATCGTTAGAGAGATTATATTGTAAAGCTAAATGCGGTCACACGAAATGGTGAATTGTAAGCCAGAATCTCCCGCTCAGATTTATTCCGATTGGAGAGATCAAAGAGACTGGGAGGCGAGACTGCGGTATGTAAAACTGATTGTGAAAATAGGTTAAATCGGATATATGTATTTCATACAGAATAAAACATCGTCGTTTGTTTATGCTATTGTTCTACGCTACAAGACTGGCTTTCTTGTTTCGGTGTTGGCTAAGCAACGTTAAAGGCAACTCCCAGGGGATCTCTTTCGGTCGGCGTCATTTCTTTTATTCGCACTCCTTTATCGTGCAATGCCGACTTCACATTCACCCCGGCGGAGCCCCCGAATTGGACAGACGGGAGCTCCCGCAACTGCAACTACGACCACCGCGACCACATCAGCCGGCACTCCGAAGAATGTGCCGGGCTTATCGGGCGGTGAGCTGCAGCGGCCACGGACTCCAAAGCAACCGGGATTAATCCCAAGTGGTGCTCCAAAGCCTGATAGATCAGGCCAGGATACGGACACCACAACCGCCAAGTTTGCGGCGCTGATGGAGAGGATCGCTACCTTGGAAAGGGAGCTTCAAAAGGCGAGGTCAGGTGAAGGGCAAGATGCAGCCGCGAGGGATCCCGTTAGAAACGGATCAAGCGGTATAGGGAGCGAGCGGTGCGGCGAATGCGCCGCCATGTTTGAGCGGAACGCCAGGGCAGAACTTGAGTGGAAATCTGCCGCCATTGTTGAGTGGAAATCTGGCACCGAATTTGGCTGAGTCAGTGACGCCATTTTTACATGAACAGTTGCCGCCATTATTGAGTGGAAACCTGCCGCCACAATCGAGTGGAAATCTGGCAATAGGGCAACAAGTCACACTCAGTACAAACAGTACAACGTTAAGCTATTCCACACCATGCTGCGTGACGGCTACTGTGCAGCCAGCACTAAGCTACATGCAAGCTACGCGGGAACCTCTTCGCAACCTGATGGTACCCCCCGCAATCAACTGGTTCATACGGAATAGCTTCGCCGAGCACGTTAATTGGATGGACGCCGCGCAGACTGCCTGATCTTCCAGAGTTCGAAGGTCAGCCTGAGGAATGGCCAATATTCCAATGCGCGTTCACGGAGACGACGGCGGCGTATAATTGTACTGCGTTGGAGAACAACCAGAGGCTAGTGAAAGCCCTGAAGGGTGAAGCGCGAGCATCTGTCAAGTCGCTGCTTATACACCCGAATAACGTTCAGGCTGTAATGGATCAGCTACGTTTCCGATATGGACGCCCGGAGCAACTGATACGTAGCCAACTGGAAAGCGTGCGAGAGGTGCAGCCGATCCAAGAACACAATATAATAAAGATCGTGCCGTTTGCAACACGGGTCAGCAATCTCGCAGCGTTTTTACAGTCAAGCCCGAACGGGGAGCAGCACCTAGGAAATCCTACATTGATGGAAGAGCTGATCGCCAAGCTACCACTGAGCAAAAGGTTGGATTGGGCCAGGCACGCCGCCGTAATAGGGTGCTACCCAACTGTCGCGCACTTGAGCGAATGGCTAAACGAACTCGCTAAATTAGTGTGCACTATTACGAGCAGCAACAGCAAGGATCCTAAGCGTAGGGTATTGCACGCCAGCACCAGTCAGAAGGATCAGGATCTATTTGAAGATCATCCCAGGAGTTGCCCAATTTGCGAGGGGCAACACACTATCAAGGACTGTAAGGATTTCAACTACGCTACTCCGACTGCCCGTATGGAGTATGTAAGAAAGCATCGGATTTGTTTCTCGTGCCTGGAGAGCGGTCACATGTCCAGGTTCTGCAAGAGAAACAGCAAGTGCAACGTCTACGGATGCCAGATGGGGCATCACTACCTCCTGCATGACGGGGTGGGCAACCCCACACGGCCATCGCAACCCCACGGTCGACCATGGCCAAATGAAAGGAGCGATCGCGGTCGCATGGTACATGCGGGCGCTGACAGGAGGAAGGTGGACAAGCAAGTACATCAGCCAGATGATCTGGCCCAGAGAAGTCCACTTACGGCATCTGCACAGACGCAGGATGCATGGCGCAAGCGGGACGAAGGCCGTCAGCCAAGTGACGGGCATGGATTGCCACATCGGAACCTAAGTTGCGTCGATCCGGATGGAGGACACTTACTATTCCGTATTTTGCCCGTGACGCTGTACGGGGAGGATACGCAGCTGGATACCTACGCGCTGTTCGACGAAGGTTCGTCCGTGACCCTGATCGACGAGGAGCTCACTCGAAGCCTAAACCTAAAAGGCGAGAGTCGGCAGCTCAACATTCAATGGTTCGGTGGCAAGTCAGCGAAAGAGAACACAAAGATGGTCAGCCTCCAGATTAGTGAAGCGGGCAGACCGAAACGCCATGCTTTGAAAAATGTGTATGCGGTCTCTAACCTCAATCTTCCGATGCAAAGTCTGCGTCGGGAAGATGTCAAAGCGGCGAAGGCTTCTGCACGCCTGCCGATGAAACCGTATCGTAATGCGGTCCCGAGGATTTTAATCGGACTAGACCATGCGCACCTAGGAATACCTATGCAAAACAGGAGCTTCGGAGCAGGAGGACCCTATGCAGCCGCCACCAAGCTAGGATGGGTGGTTTTTGGTCCTGTAAGAAGTCAGATGAGTTCACCAATGCAAAGATCGTGCCTCCTAGCCGTCCCACAGTATGATCATCTCGAGAAGATGGTCAGCGACTATTTCGAAATAGAGAATTTCGGAGTGAAGCCGGCGCCACCAGTCGCAGCTAGTGGCGACGCACGGGCTTTGGGAATCCTGAACGAGACGACTAGGCGAGTGGGCGAACGATACCAAACTGGATTGCTGTGGAAAGATGATAAAGTGAGCCTGCCTGACAGCTATAACATGGCACTCAAAAAGACTTGTCGGCATTGAAAGGAAGATGAGACGGGATGACAGCTTTGCACGGGCCTACAAGTCGATCATGGAGGACTACGTCAACAAGGGTTACGCACGACGCCTGGAGCAGCAGGAAGTGGCAGCCGATAACCGGGACAAGGTCTGGTACCTGCCGCACTTCGGGGTCGAGAACCCAAACAAGCCCGGAAAGATCCGTCTAGTCTTCGATGCCGCAGCCAAAGTGGGCAATACATCTTTGAACTCAGTTCTACTCAAAGGCCCACAACAGTTCAAGTCCCTGCCAGCCGTGCTCTTCCATTTCCGGGAAGGAGCAGTCGGGGTCTGCGCAGACATAAAGGAGATGTTTCATCAGGTGCTGATACAGCCCCCAGGATAGATGCGCCCAGAGATTCCTGTGGAGGAATGGAGATGACCGGCGAGATCCAGATCTGTTCGAAATGGTTGTGATGACGTTCGGAGCCGCTTGTTCGCCGTGCTCAGCGCATCATGTGAAGACCATAAACGCTTCAAGATACGCCCAAGCAGATCCTCGCGCGGTTCAGGCCATCAATGAGTATCACTATGTAGATGACTACGTGGATAGTTTCTCGGACGAGAAAGAAGCTATCGCTGTATCAGAACGAGTAAGGAAAATTCATGCTGAGGCCGGTTTCGATTTGTGCCGCTTCTCATCAAGTTCGGAAAGTGTGGTCAAGGCTTTGAACCCACTAGGATCCAATAAGAACGTTGAATGGAATGAAGCGGAGGAGAAAATATTAGGCATGTACTGGCACCCAGCGACGGATGACTTTAAATTCAGCGTAAGTACCACAGGGTTCCCAGCAGCGTGATGACCGGGAGAACGCACCCACCAAGAGAGAATTCCTAAGTCTGGTTATGTCAACATTTGACCCGATAGGATTCTTGAGCTGCTTCATGGTAACCGCCAAACTATTGATGCGTGAGATTTGGCGGAGAGGAGTTCAGTGGGACGAGCCGTTGCCGGATGAGTTAGCCAAAGCGTTTGAGAGCTGGAGGCTGGAAATGGATTACGTGAGAGATTTCCGCTGTCCACGCTACTACTTTGGCACGGGATGCGTACGTGAACTGCAGCTACATGTGTTTGTGGACTCCAGCCAATCGGCGTTCGCAGCAGTTGCATTCTGAGGGCGACTTATGACAACGATGATGTGCGGTCCTATTTCGTGTGTTCCAAAACGAAATGCGCCCCGATGAAGACGATGACGATCCCGCGCCTGGAGCTCCAAGCAGCTGTATTAGGAACCAGGCTGATGGACACCGTAAGACGAGAGCACGACGTATCGATCAGCAGATGCGTGCTATGGACTGACTCTAAGACCGTGCTGCACTGGATAAGCAGCACCCACCGGCGGTATAAGCAGTTCGTTGGAAACCGGGTGGCGGAGATCTTAGAGTCAACGGAGGTGTCTCAATGGAGGTGGATACCGTCTGCCGAAAACGTGGCAGATGACGCGACGAGGCCACAGCGCCATGTGGACCTCAGCCAAGGGGCAAGGTGGATGAGCGGGCCATCATTTCTGCGGGAGTCGGAAGAACAGTGGCCCAAGCCATCTCCAAGTGATCGCGACAGTCCACACTCCGCAGAAGAAGAGATGCCGTGTGAGTTTACACTGGTAATTGCCAACGAGTTTATATTTTTGCAGAGATTTTCGAATTATAATCGATTGGTCAGGACCACAGCGTGGATCCTCAGGTTCATACGACGGTGCCGTGGATTGAGTGACGAGAGTGAGGCCTACGGTATTACAGCTACTGAGTGCGCGGAGGCAGAACGGAAACTGATCCAGCGCGCCCAGGCTGATACGTTCGCAGATGAAGTTCAAGGAAAGGCAGTGGCGAAAGGCAGTCAGTTACGAGGACTATCCCCTTACGTCGACCACGATGGAATCATACGAGCGCGTGGACGGATTGATGCCGCCGAATGCGTCCCATTCAACGCACGGCGCCCGATCATACTGTCGCACAAACACGCACTGGCAGAGATGATAGTTCGTCACTACCACAGGAAGATGAAGCACCAGAATCTAGACGCGACCATAAGCGAGATCCGGACCAGGTTCTGGATAACCAATTTAAGGAGGGTTTTACGGAGTGTTATGGCAACCTGTAACTTATGCAAACTCCGGAGAGTACGACCAATTCCGCCATTGATGGGTCCGTTGCCAGAGGACCGGCTGGAGCCGAATGGATGGCCATTCAAGTATACTGGCTTGGACTACTTTGGTCCGCTGTTTGTGACGATTGGACGTCGCACTGAGAAGAGGTGGGTCGCACTCTTTACTTGCCTAACCACCAGGGCTGTCCACCTGGAGATAGCCCACGATTTGTCAACAGATTCCTGCATCATCGCTATGAGGAATTTTATGTGCCGCCGTGGACCGGTGGTCAGATTGAGGAGCGACAATGGAAAGAACTTTATTGGAGCAGATCGTGAGGCCAGAAAGTTCGATGAAGTCTTCGAACCAGAAAAGATCCAGGATGAGCTGTCATCCAAAGGAATCGAATGGATCTTTAACTGTCCGCGAACCCAGCTGCCGGCGGCATCTGGGAAAGGATGGTCCAATGTGTGAAGAAGGTGCTCGCGCATACTGTGAAGGAGGTGGCTCCTAAGGAACACGTCTTGGAGAGCTTTCTTATTGAGGCGGAGAATATTGTTAATTCTCGTCCGCTTACCCACCTTCCAGTCACTGTGGATCAGGAGGCACCGCTAACGCCCAACGATTTGCTAAGAGGAGTGGCTAATGTTCCGGACCTTCCTGGAGATCGCGGAGAGCAGCCTGTCAAGTGCGCTACTAGGAAGCAGTGGCGTATCGCACGGATGATGAGAGACAGATTTTGGAAACGTTGGGTACATGAGTATCTACCGACGCTTGTTCCGCAGGGAGAAATGGTGCGAGCATGTCGAGCCTATGCGCCCAGGGAATCTCGTGTACATCTGTGATCCGGCCATCCCTCGTCGAGAATGGAGGAAAGGCGTCGTGGAGGAAGTGTACCCAGGAGCGGATGGAGTACCACGACGAGCGGCGGTACGCACTACCAATGGCGATCAAGCTAAGTTAATCATGCGTCCCATCTCCAGATTGGCTATCCTGGATGTGGTGAATGCAGTTGCTTCACCGGGGTGGGGATGTCGTGGAACGGATTAACATATCGCTCAAGGTTTAGTAAATTTAAATGTAGCGCCAAGTATTTCAGTATTTGTTATCGATGTTGTAAATCGTTAGAGAGATTATATTGTAAAGCTAAATGCGGTCACACGAAATGGTGAATTGTAAGCCAGAATCTCCCGCTCAGATTTATTCCGATTGGAGAGATCAAAGAGACTGGGAGGCGAGACTGCGGTATGTAAAACTGATTGTGAAAATAGGTTAAATCGGATATATGTATTTCATACAGAATAAAACATCGTCGTTTGTTTATGCTATTGTTCTACGCTACAAGACTGGCTTTCTTGTTTCGGTGTTGGCTAAGCAACGTTAAAGGCAACTCCCAGGGGATCTCTTTCGGTCGGCGTCAAGTGCCTTATACTATCCTTAAACTATTTAGGAAGGACGTTTTAATAAAATGAATAATTATTTTCAAACGTGAACTATTCTAAACTAGCCTATTTTAGAGCTGCTTATAGTGTATCATTTAAGAACTATTTGCAATCTTAATGTAAGGTTTACCAAATGGTTATAGCCACTAACTAACTTGGTTATGATCTAAAACAATGTGTTCGTGGCATCTAAACATCGACAAGCCCTATTGAAATAAACTTTAAATACCTGCAAAGTCTACGCTTCGCTTTAATTTTCATTAGAAGTGTGTGCGTGCTCGCCAGTGTTCCCCGACCTCGACGAGGTTTTGTTAACCCTTTTGTGATCTATTTTCTAGCTGTGGCATCGGGCATCGTTTCTGTGTCGCGAAGAGGCGACTCCCGACGCGACGAAGACTGTTCTTGAATGAAAGTCAAAGTAAAAACGGCCAAATGGCAAAACAACAAAAACCTAAACAAAATACAAAACGACACCCGAAGCGAATGGCACGATGGGGTATGAGGGGGTTGGCAACTAGAAAGCGCGCCGGAGAGCGCCAAACTTTGATAAGGCCAAAGCACAACAAAATGGAGGGCTTGTGGATAGAACGAGGGGCTTGTCGCCGGGAAAAACAAACAAGAAAAGCGCTTCGTTTAGCTTTCTACTGCAAAAAGCATAAAAGGACGTAACGTCGAGAAGGAATGCAACGCGAGAACGGGAACGAAAGGAGTGAGCAGTGGGCGGACTTTGGGTGACAGTGGGAGGAGGGTGGCTGCTCAGGTGCGTTTGCCGGGTTGAATGCACGGCGTGCCAGAGTGAGACAGCCGATGTCCGTTGCATTCTTCCGAAATCTCTCTCTGCGCATGCGCAAAGTTGCCTCTACTCGTGGATACGGAAAAAAGTGGTTGGCGGGGGATCATATGTAATGCGCACGGGTGTGGGCGGGGTATGGGACGCAGAAAACTCGGTGGGCTGGGACAGGTGCAATTTATTTATTTATTTCGATTCATTTCCGCTTTTGTGTGAGACTAAATGAAAACTCATTTCCCTTTGATGTGTGCTCTGCTCCTCTTTCACTTTTCCTCGGACTCGGGCTAAGCGAGATGGCCATAACCACCTCCGCATGGAGAGAGCGAGAAGGCGCCAGTGGCCGGCTCTTCCTTTCGCTCTCTCTCTGTTTTTGGGTGCTGCTGCGCGATAATGAAAAAGTGTAATGCACCAAAAAGTGACATAAGGCTGTAAATTAAGCAACAACAACGACAACAGGCTTAAACTCTGCCCTGTACATATGTGCCGTGATATACTTGCATACATAAAAATGTGTGCGGTACATAGGTGCGGAAATATATGTGCATATAATCGGTTATTTACAGTTATCTGCATATCCTGAACGAGGGCGAGCTACTGCCCGAAACCGGGGGATCCAGAGGGTGTCGCTGGTTGTTGATGGGCTCTGGCATTTATTCCGCGGCGTTTCATGTCCGTATGGAGTCCCCGCGAGGGCTTTTTGGGCCCTGGTCAACTTCTTTATGTTTTCCCATCATATTAAAAGCCTTTTCACTGAAAATCACAAAAACGGTAATCGCCTGACTATATGCCCACACATGCGATAATATGTGTTTGTGCAGGAGTCTGCCTCTGCGTTCTATTAAATTTATTTATTTTATGAAGTAGTCAAAGTCTTTATACAATATTTGCGGTCTCTAAAATGTATGTTTTGCTTATTTTGCTTACCAAAAATATTGATAACTTCAATAGAGTCTTTAAGAACTTTAGTTACGGTAAATTGGTTAAATAAATAGACAGAAGCCAGTAAATTAACGAAAAACGTTTTAAAAAATATTCTTCTTATAAAAATCTTCTTTAATATTAAAAAACACTTACGTATTTACGGTCCCACAATCAACATTTTTGTTGAAAATTCTAAGTTCTTGTGAACTCTTCCATTCTTTATCTAAATGTTGTAGAAATATAGTGGCCAATGCGTTGAAAAGCTTCCTCCTCGTTGAAAGAAAGCTTTACATAAACTCAATTTCTTTAAATTTTCTACGGCAACTAAAATAAAACAAAAGTCACCGATTTAAAAATCGTTGAAAGTGAATAAAAGTATTTGGAGTATTATGAAGTATACGACAGTATGGTTTGAACTTAAAACTTTATAAGCACATCTCCTTCCTTTCGGTATAATTGTCTGAAGAAAAGCTAAACAAAGTAGTTCCCAATGCACTAGAAGATATATAAATATTGTTCATAAGTTTGCTAATGCTAATTTAAATAAAGGCCGCGAGGGAAACCCCACAGCCAAATTCATCTTTATTGCGTTCTATTTCTTTTTCTGCTCTTTCTGTTGGCTCTCGGAGCATATGGTTCGAGGGAGCGGACCGGCTAAAATTTACATAGCCAAAGTCGACAAAGTCGCAAAAACCAACAACGGCCAAAACCGGCTTGCCAGCTCACACACGAACAAAACTCACCCACATATGCAAGCTCCACACAAGATAACAGCGATAACAACAACAACAGCCGAATACAACAGAAACCGGCTTTTTGTGTGACCTAATATTTAAGTTAACTACTTTGGCAAAAAGGCGAACAGAACTCGCACTGCTCTTTTCGCTCGCGATAAGATTCGCGCATATCAGAGGGAAAAGGGCGCCTTATCAGCAGATATGGCCACAAAAACAGAGAGCTTCGCCGTGGCAACTTCTTGGCCAGTTCCCTTTGAAGGCAAACAAAAACACAATGATTTAGCAGGGCGCTCTCCCATTGTCCCGATGTCAGCCCGTGGGAGAGGTGTACCTAGGGGAAAACAACAAATGCCAGTTGCCGGAGCAACAACTATTTGAAGATTGCTTTTTATTTTTGGATTGTGTATACGCCGTGTATGACCTGCGACGGTGATGACGCTGGTGAGGTACCGGAGTGTCAGGGGGAGGGTTGTCGACATCAGAATCGGAATCTGGATGCGAATGTAATTGCGAATGTGAATGTGAATCCGAAAAAAAATTGGAGGGAGAATGGAAGCTTTCGGTGTTCGCTCTCAGCCGACTTTTTGCACCGGCAAAAAAAACTAAGCAACCAGCAAATGTTTTTGTGCACACTCTAAGACCGCCCCTGCTGCCACCGCTCTTTGTTTGATTCGGGCTCGGATACTCTCTGCACTTGACGTGCCCTCTCGGCGAAGTGCTCTAGTGTTTTACATTGTTGTCGTTCGTATTGGCGCCAAACAAGAGTATCTATTGTTGGCTCTGCGGCGTTGCCACGCTTCACGTCTTAGATGGCGAAGTTGCCTTGCTTTGTGGGAGTCACACGCAGTCCGGAATCAAGCTGAAGGCTCTTCGACGTGGCGTTAGCATCTCCAGCCCCGGCAGCCCTCCTCTGTCCGAGATCCTCCTCAATGCGATCCCCCTCTCGATCATCCTCCCCCTCCCACTCCACGTACTGCACGCATCCATCACAGTCATAGTAGTCGCCGTATTCGTCCTCCTCGGATTCTACTTCCCATTGGCCGCCCACCATTAGAGCTAGCTCATAGTTACCCTGTGTGCGAATACTATGCCAGTCTAAAAGATTTTCATCGAGGTCATCTAACACCTCCAGCCGCCCGCACCCGCCGAGTACAGTATCTTCGGCTAAGCGATATGATGTGATATGATCTCCGCTAGCAGGGCCACTGTCCTGAGTTCGATTCCTTGTCGGCAGATGCCGTGGTCTGAAGATGGGGGTTCGTCTATACAGCTTCAGAAGGAGGGTTAGCGCCTTGTTCCTGGCCATGACCAGCAGCTGCCCCATCCACGGTTGCCGGCGACTGATCAGAAAAGAAGCTCTCATAGCTATACAAATGGTTGAATGTAAGAGAGTGTTGTGTTTTTCTGTAAAATTCAACCTTTCAGTGCCCCGAGATGTCAGTTAACTGTCTTTTTCAAATAGTGCTGCCTCAATTGCGTTGAAAAATTGGAGCAGATCACAATGCTTAAATCAAAATATTCCGGACACTCGCTTAGTGCTTGTCAGCAGAGCGTTCAACAGATAGCAGGGAAGGATTCTCAGGATGCTGGTCTAAGCCTTTGCGGAAAGCCCAGTTTCCTCGTCTGTCGAGGGAGGAAGTCCTCCGGTCTAACCGAAGTCGACAGCTTCACCGATCTCAGTCAGCCCCAACGCCTCGCTCTTCAGCAGACCAATTTGAAAATCCAGGGTATTATAAAGCTCCAGCAGCACATCATCGAGCTGGTGGATGATGTCGACAAGAAAATCGCAGGTGAGAAGAGCTCCAGGAAGATGGATGACTCGGAAAGTTAGGTGACCATCTTCTTGTGGTTCTTTTTCCAAATTCTGAAATTAAGCAGAGTAACTCCTGAGGTCAAGGCTGACGACTATTGTTGATCTGCTGCGATTCAATTGGCTTTATCATTTTGTTTTCAGTAAATATTTATACGTAAGCACTTTTGTTTAGTACTGCTGATAGCATCTCAGGCGCAACAAAAACGGAGTCTGATTAAGGCAACGCCGCCGATAGATATATATATATATATAGGATAGTTTATATATAGGACTTGGCATATGTTTCCATTGAGTAATATAGCCAGCTGCGCGAAATGCGGTCGAAGTATCATAGGTCCAGCTAACCATCAATTGTGCCATCAAATTATGTGGAAAATAGACCGAAAATATATTTGATTAAAAAAGTCCTGGGAGGTCTTCCTAAAGTACCATCATCAAATTGAGAATAAAAAGGAAAATGTCTTGGTTAACTATATCACTTGCTAGTTCTTGTCATCACCTCATTGGTGGAATTAATTTTGTAGATCTCAGAACGTTTTCAAACGAAGTTTACTATTCCTCTTAAGGCCCAATATGATTTGTTTGTTGACAGGAAGTGAGGACGTTCGACTGCAGTTGATTAACTCAGGTGTCCCGGTGACTCTAAATTCCGGATATATATTTTGGCACGTCGATGCTCTGCCTCCACTCCCGACCCCTGTGACTGCGACTGATTTACCCACTTCTAAGTTCGACCAGTTTCCAAATCGTAACACTTTCACGAGCTGCCGACAAAAGTAACCACAACGCCAGACGGTCAGCTGAGGGTGGTGGATCTGCGCAGGAGGAGGGTTAAACTGATTCCCCTGGGGGGCAGACGCAACTCCGTCCTCTTCCTTTTCCCCTTAGCGTTCTTCGAACCCACTCATGGCCGGGATTAACCCTCCGCGGGGCACTCAAAATGGGGCAACAAAACCTCAGCTGCAACGGCACGCGACGCAAGGCCGCAGTCGCAGCGACGCGTGCGTCGGCAGCGGGGACTCATGTGAGTCGCGCGACACGCAAATATAGTCGGGCGAGATGCATCTGTGTGCTCAGATGTAGATACAGCAGTTGCTTTTTTGCGAACTTTTTGCCGACGCTTATTGTTGCTTTCCCCCTCTCTCTGACATGCTCTCATTCTGTCTCTCGTACACATACGAGCAGAGTCTTGAGAAGCGCTCTCGCAGTACTTCTCTCTTCTGGCGCGGGGCGACTCTCTCACTAGCGACTTTAATGGGGGCGTGGGGGCGAAGCTCTCGTTTTCGTCGTCTTTTTGTGTTCGCTTCGTTTAATTTTTGTTTCGTTGTTGTTGGCTCAGCGCGAGTGTCCGTAAAAAGCTTTGTGCGCCAATCCCTCCCCTTCCTCAACCATCTCTACACTCCAAAACCCTCTGAAGAAGGTTTGTTCAGTTTCTTTTTGGCTCTCTTCTCTCTTCTCTCAACTCTCACGGCTCCTGATGCTGCCGCCGCCAACGCTGGCCGCGACCGCGACTGCGGCTTCGGCTTGGCCGCCGCCGCTTTCATGGGTTCTTGAGCGTATGCAAAAGATTTTTGCACATATTCATCTTTTTGGCCGTTTTCGGTGCGTTTCGCGGAGCTCGCTGGCTCTTGGAGTGTTCGCGCAAATTTCCATCATTTTTGCGCGCCCAAAGAAAACGTAGTTTCCGTGTCTCAGTTCTGGCTCAGGGGTTATGACCCAACCTTTTGGGATCTGGGCCTAGCCCTCAGCTTCTCAGGAAAATAAATTTGGATTTAATTAGCCGTGTAGATGATTCTGTAACTCCCACTTTCCTTACTGCAAACTGAACAAAATTCAAGGCAACAAAGTATTAAAATGACGAAGGTCTTCATATTGAAATTCATCCGTGACAGATTGTAGTGCGAGTAACAAAAGTTTGACTGTACATTATTTTCGGGACTTAAGTACACAGATGCCGAGTCCAAGTTGTGTGTTCGGAAAGGACAAATCGTATCTAAAGTGAACATTCTAATTGCCTTTAAGGCTGCAAGGATAGAACGTTGAGAGTTAGCCGCTCACTTAGCCCAATAGCAGAGCGAAGTATCTGCCGCATATACGAATATTGACTCTCCCCGATGCGGTTCAACAATTTCTGTTGAACTATTCCGAACTTTTGTGTTTTAGTAAATTGGCTTTGCCGGCGGTTGGTTCACTTACCGTGTCTTTTACGGCTAAAAGCTAGTTCTGTGTGTTCGTGTGAGTTGTATCGCTATCCATAAATCTGCCAGCACGAACTGTAGTCGCCGTCGCGCAACTTTTATTCAGCTGGCGTTGCCGCAGCTTTTTCGTCTGTTTCCCGTATTGCTGCACTATATCGTATCGCAGCTTAGTTTGGATGTATTTTGTCTTGTTTTCCCACCCTTTCACCCACTGAGACCCACCCTTTTGGGGGCAACGTTATCGGGAGCCTTGTTTCATCATCTAGCGGCGTTTTGAACTTGAAAATTTTGTTGTTCGTTTAGTTTTCCCATATTTTCCAGCTTTCCGGCGTTGTCCTTGCGCCGTCTCTCTGGCTCTCCGCAGTCCTCTCCGTTGTTTAGACATTGCGTGCCCCTATACAAGACACTTGTGTCTAGGGTTAGGAATAGAAGAGAAGTGGGTGTTGGGCGGGTTGTGTTTTGGCTGAGGATGAGAGAGCAGATGTGTCTGCGGCTGTTTGCCTCGCCGTCTGCGGGAGGCAGTGCCTGTGCCATGTGTTGAGTTTATTTGGGCAAAAGGAAGCGCGATAAGTTAAGTAGGGGAGGGAAAGGAACCAGAACTAAGACCTCAACAGCACGATGAGCTAAGTTTTCTTTGGCTGAACTACAATCTAATAAACTGAGTTTTTACACGTGTTTTGTGCCGCTAACAGTTTTTGGATCTCGACAATATGTGCCGAAAAGTGATAGTGGGCCTTACTTACAAAGTCACTAATCAGAGGTCTTCTATTCTATTCTATTGCAGGTGCTTTTTGACTGTTTGGAACATTTTTAAACATTACGTTAAAACGTTGTTGATACTTACTGAAATATTGTTTTGTTTAAACAAATAATAATATAATAATAATATAATAATACTGGCAGAATAATACGAAACGAAGGGGAACGAATACCATTCTATAATAATACAAATGTAATAAAATATAAAGCGACAACGATAACAACTTATTTGTCATCAGTTAACTTTTAGTTTCGAATGTTCTTCTAACAAAATAATATAATAATTTCAGTATAATTTAATGCAATCAATTCTACGACAAAATACAAATTTTAACATTAACTACAACAACAAAAGAAAATAGTACAACAAATTAAAATTAACTTTCAGTTGTATGAAAAAACAAAAAGTGATTTTTAGTTAGTTTCTCAAAATTTAACAAACAAAATTCACAACAAAATTTGGAATACAACAACTACAAACACCGCAACAACAACAACAACAACAACTACTACTACAACAATAACAGCAACAATTACAACCACTGCAACAAACAACATCAAACAACCAACCGATAACAACTGCATAATCAATATAACTAATTGAACGAATAACAAGAGTACATGAAATAATATAAGAAATTTGTAACCATAATAAAAAGTCTAATCAAATAAACTAAACCGAGAAATAAATCAAAGCGCAACAATTAACGAAAAACAAAACCAAAAGAACACAGCCAACAAACCAGCAAAGCAAATCAAATCAAATCAAAGCAAATCAAAGCAAAGCAAAAACGAAAAACAAAAATAGCACACACGAAATAGCCAGGAAAACATAGATACCATAACAAGAAGCAGCAAAACAAAGCAACAGAAGCAAACGAAAATAGCAACCGAAGCCAACACAAAACCTATCGAAACAGAATCAGAACCAGAAATAGCCTTACAACCCGCCTCCAAAACCAAATCCAATAGCAGAATTCAAGGAATATAACCGATAACTGAGACCGATAACAGGATAACAAATAGAAAATAGAGCAACGAAACAGTAACAGTAACAGAAACAGAAACAGCAACAGCAGAAGTGAAAACTGAAATTCAAAACCAAAAGCCAAATAAACAAAAGAGGAATACAAAAACGGAAATAGCCAAAATTTGTTAAATTTATTTTGTGTGTTTTTAACGGGAGAAAAGCAAAACGCAAAAAGCAAGAAAAAATTGTCCTAACGGAAAGAAAAACAGAAAATATTTGTCGTTTTTAAAATTGAACTCTTGTGTTGAGGTTTATATATTCGCTTTAGTCCTTAAATTTTGTGTTCGTCAAAAAACGGTCGAGAAAATGTTCTTAAAAAGTCTTGAATGAATCGAGCTGAGAAACACTTTATAAACTTTGAGAGGTGAAGCAATCAAAATAAAGGAAGCGGCAATAACCATTTCGCAAGTGAAGAGCAGCAAACTGTAGAAACAGCTTTGTGCAAAGTTGCGCAATCACAAGTGTACATTTGTGTATGTGTGTGTGGACGTGTTAGTGCTAGAAGTTCACGTTAGCAGAGGAGATAAATCGGATTGGAGAACATCACTATATCAATATATATCCATATACAAATTATCTAAAATTGTTCATATCGTGGCAAAAGCTAAATATGATCTTAAAGCATGTAAAATCCGTTTTCGAAAGCGTTTCGTACTTACAAAAATAAACTTAACATTAGTAGTGAGACAAAGATAAGCAAAAACAAAATAAAATTCCATTCAGATAGAAGGAACGTTCTAGGCTAAAAATAAAATTATATTACTATTAACGAATTCACAAGAAGGATCTTAAAAATATAGAGGCAAACGGAGACGTTGTTTTCTGGTATAAGTCGAAAATCCCCACACACCTATTAGCGTCATAGCAAAAGAAATCCTTCGAGGACTCGTCTTTACATGTCAATTTGGTAAGTACAGATCGTTCTACATCTTTTTTTTTTAAGCAAAGTATTATTTGTAAGTTGGGTAAACTTGGTTTATTCTTTGGCAGCGTCAAAAGTTTACTCGATCATGTCTGTCGTCTGCCAATCGATACTTCGGAAACTATTGAATTTAGGTTGTTATAACGCTGCTAGGATGATCTTATTGTGATACTACTCCAAAGTAAATGTAAAAATCTTACATTATTGATTCTGTTATGTTGCCTTCCGAATAAATTCTAAGAAAGTGGGTAACGTATAATAGTCAATGAGATAACTTTTTTCCGTTCTAAAGTTAAATTTAATGAATGAAAAGGCATATCAATGGTAAACCTACTAATATGAATATTAATAAACACTTTATTCTTTTCTTCCATGCTTAAATTACAATTCATTGCAAGGTTAAGAATGATAAATATGAAATGTTAAAAATTAAAGTTAAAGTCCAGTTAGTGCGGTCAGGCATGCATGCTTATGGGTTGGTAGAAATAGGTAATAAAATCGGGGATTATAGAATCCAAATCCGAAACGCAAAAACCAAAGCCATGTACGGCGTGAACGACTATGTGAACACGTGACGTATATAACAGCCCCCGGGGACCCACATGCGCAAGTGTGTAGGTGTGCCCACATACAAACATGTTTATACATATGTGCAATGCCTATGTACAGTGGGCTCACACGCATGCCTGTATGCACATCTACATGCAAATTTCACTTACGCGTAAAAAATTAATTATTGAAAAAATGCGCGACGGACCGACACCCAAGGACCGCGAGAAACAACTCCAATAACCGCCCACCCCCGTTGCCCATTGAAAGCTGGCGGGGTGGCGGTAGGAGTGGGTGGCCATCAGCAATCGAAACACAAAAACTGAAAGGATGAGCGCCCGCACCAGCAAGAATAGCAGCAGCAGCAGCAACACGCAAAAAAAACTGCCATTACACATATTTTAAATGAATTGAAATAAAATTCGTATATAAAAATGCTTGTAAGAGTGTGTATGTGGCCGGCGAAGTACAGTTGACTCCACACATTTCAACGGAAAATGGCAGGCAAGCAGTATTCGCAGCGACCGCGGCAGAGGCAGCGGCGGAGTCGGAGGCAGAGGCAGGGGAGAGGGCAGTGTGTACTATGGGGTTGGAGATGGGGAGACAACGAAAGGGGTGGCCTGACCGAACGGTCAGTTGCCGAGTGTCCTTCCACACGAGGATGCGCGACAGAGACGGAGAGTGTCTGCCATCCCCAACCCCTCCCCATCTACATCCCGCACCAGCCAGTAGCTGCAGTTTTTTTAATGTGCTGAGGTTGACAATGCGTCGCCCAAAAGAGCGCAATTATATTTTCGCTCTCTATCGTTGGGAATCTGCATTTGTTTCTGCATCTGCAGCTGTACGTGTGGGCCATGTCATTAATGACAAGTTTAATTTACATTCGCGAGCGTCTTTTCTCTTTTTTGAAGTTGGTGCTGCGCTTGCAGTTGGCAACAGTGGAAGCCGCAGAAGCCCCCACCACCCACCATCCACCATCCAACACCCACCGAATCCGCTGATCCGCGCGCAAATTGCATTTTTCGGTTGCATTCTTTTCCATGCCATTTCACTTAATTTTATTGCAGCTGCTGCGTATATTTCTCTGTCTCTGCGGGTTTTTTGCCATGTCATTGAATGCATTTCTAGAGTCTAGAGCAAACGTGACATGTCATTAACGGGGGGAATGAGCAGGTCTGCTTTTTGTATACAACATCAGAATTAAATGTAACACGGTGTTACTTTGGGCTGCCAAAGAGTTCCTCAGCCAACCAATCTTGCCTTAGTAACATCTAATCCCATGCGCACTTATGTACGTCCCCTTCACGCGCATCGGTAAACTTTTAGGTCCTTTTCAGACAGCTCTAATTATCCCCTCTAACTATTCAAAACCGCTATTCATAAATATTCACAACAAACATTCCACTCGACACATCAATGCGAGTCCTCTTCAGCTGCAACAGCAAGTGAAAGTTGCGCTAGGCAGCAACTAGAACGGCAATCAATGGGGCGAGTTGCAGGGAGGCTGCCAGATGTGCGAAGTGAAGGCTTGGGTGGTTCTCAGCGTAACGTGGATCGCGGGCTTTCGCTGGCCTTGGGAGAGTGACGGAATGGATATGCATATAGATAATCTGATGGGTGGGTGGCTGGCTAAAAAAAGGATTGATGCATTCATTCAGTCGGGCAACTAGGTCGGAAGTTGGATGGCACTAAAGTACCAATAAGGAAACGTATGGTTAGGTACACACTCGTATGTGATAGTTAAAAGACAGAGAAATGAGATCACACACATGCTGGAGGGGAAATGAGTCGAGTACCAGATGAATGGCCCTTTTCACCGATTGACTACGTTCGTAATTACTGAGTGGGGAAGGGTTGGAAAGGCTCCATGATGATTAAAGCCAGCCAGAGACTCATCTTTTCACTTGATACGGACTCCTCTAGCCACGCCCACGAGCACTCTCCACTGTGCCACAACAAAAGATGGAAAAACTTATTTCTTGTTTGTCTTATTTTATTCAAAATAAACGACACACAATATGGCGGGGTCGAGGGTTGGCCAATGCATGTCAATAGCCTATCGCGAGGCAGCACGGGGCGTATGCATAATATTTCCATACACCCGTACCAAGATCGCTCGCTCGCTTTTTCCTGAACGGGTGAATGGGGAACGGACTTGGGATTGGAATTGGGGTTGCCGGGAGCACTGGGTCTGGAATGGGCTCTACTATTATTCACATGGCGTTGTTGTTGCAATAATCATTTTGCCAAGCTATTGGATTCAAGAAGTTCAGGGGTATCAGGCTTGAAGCAGAAGTGGGCTGGCTGTTTTCGCCCAGAACAGAAGAATAAATAAGCTGCCAACCGTAGGTTATACACCTTTCTTCTTTAATATCTGCTAAAAATCTCCAGCTTTTGGTGTTTGGGAACAGGTGAAGCTGAATTAATCACGACATTTCCAAGCAAGAGTTAAGATTTAAAATGAAACTCTAGGCGCACTTGCAGCGCCAACAATATGAAGTGAACAAATGAAAACTCTTTCCATTTATGCAGGCACAGTCATGTGTATTCGTAAGCCACGAATAGAATGAAACAAAAACTTGCATTTAGCTTTTGCACGTGCATACTGCGCCCTGGCGCACTCTTGAGTTTTTCAACTTTCCTCTGGCCAAATTCAGAAATTGCGAGTGCTCGCACAAGTACGCTTTTTGTCTAGCCGACTATATAAAATAGAAAGAGCGCAGAAGTGCTGGGGGTATGCGGGATTGCTGGGAGGACAATGCAGCCAGACTTTAACCAGGTCCGGCCCCAACCCCGGCTCTCGTAAAAAATGCAGACTGCAGCCAGGAGGGGCGTTCCGGGCCGTTCACAGGGCGGCTAAAATATTTGAAACCTGCAACTGCATTTAAATGCAGTGAAAACTTTGTTAGTAGCCCGTTCCATGTTGATGCCCTCTCTCTTCTTTGTTGCATCGAATGTGCCTCATTTGATTTACAGTCAGCAGTTGTTGGCAATGTGAGGAGCGGGCATTTGGCTATCATTCAGATCAGCTAACAGAAGTACTGGCGTCTAGAATGTGGAACAAAAGCGAGTTCGGCCGTATACGGTGACTCGTTTTCGTTGAAAAATTTCCGTTTTAACTATCTTTTGTCTGGTTGCTGTCTGCGAAACTTTTCTGCCCATTAAAACTTGTTCCCTGCGAGCAGGGGAAAATTAAGCGAAGGAAAGCCTTCAACGTTGTATCTCACAGTTTTCACTTTCGGGCAAGGCAAACAAAGCAGAAAATGCGGTAAAGTTTTTTAAGCACGGCTGCAGTATTTTGAAACGGAAGTGGCTAGAAACGAGCAATACGCCGGCATATTTCTTCAAAAAAGTTTCACTCAGCTGGCTGTGTGCAAACAATAGAAGCCCAGGCCAACCCTCACCAATTTGAATTTGACACACTCCCCGAAGGGCTCTCAAAAAGTTGCCAGACCTAAAAATGCGCATACGCCCCGTTGCCCCAACTTCATTTGCTAGATCCAGCCACTACAGCTTGGAAAACTATGTCAGAAGTGATTTAGTTCTCGACGGGATTTTTGGCGCAACATCTGAAAGTGTTTCCGCTTTCCTGGCAGAATTGACAGTGCTAGGAAATAGTGTGCAGGTCATTGTTTAATACACTAAAAAAATTTTACGCGCTGTTTACCAATTTCCCATTCCCTATAACCTAATAACTTAAATGATGGACTGATAAATTCAGTAGGAATATTATGTTCAGTGGAAGAAGATACTTAGGGTCGGTGAAAAGGTGTGCGACCTGTGGTCCGAACTAATCCTATTACTTACAAAAATGACATTAAACGGAAAGACCCACGAGTTGTATACGACTGCTGAGGAGGTGTCTTCAGAGGAGACCAGCCTGGTCACCGATTTATGTGGTGAGAGGCTTTTATTGGGTGCGTGCGAATTTTCACACTTTACGCATGGATTGACCTGTAGGCCGACGGAAGAAGTGGAGTGGAACTACGCAGGGCTGCGTTTATTGGTACCTGCCAACTTTACTTGGGCAGCAGAAAAGGGCCTCTTCTTGAATACTTGCACCTAAGCTGTTGGCCTTTCGCTTTTTCCCCAGATTAAAACATATTTCGCTAAATTGCATTTCGCAGTCATTTAAGGTAATTGCATTAGACTCGTTTGACATGTTGCTTTTGCCAGAGAACGACAGAGTTGCATATTCACACAGATAGAAACGGAAGCCCGCTGATGTAGAGTCATAAAGTACTCGGACCTTATTGCCAGTAAATTCCCTTATCAGAAAATTCGGTTTGCTTTGCATCAAAAAAGCGTGGAAAACAAACGTATGTCAAAACTTGTTTTAATGAATAAAACTATTTGTGTTTTGTGGATAATCCCCGCTCAGAAGTACCTTTACAGACTCAATTCATATGCATGGAGCTATAGGAGCTCTCCTCGCC